GACCCCACTGTGCTAGGGGCTGTACATTATTTATTAGGTGTATTACGGTAGTGCCTAGGAGCTCCAGCCACGGACCAAGACATCACTGTGCTAGGCACTGTACAAATACAGGACAATCGTATCTCTAGAGCAGAGGTTCTTAACCTGGGGTGTACGCACACCCTGGGGGGGCGAGATGCCCTTTCTGGGGGTGCGAAACATGCCAGATTTTTTTAGAAGGTAAATCATCGAAAACACAAATTAAGCACAGGCACGTAAGTACAACTACTTTGTTTCATCAAACCTATGTATTTATTAACATTATACATTTTTTAACGATTACTGTAATATACAAACAAAATATATATCTAGGTTTAAAGAACTGACCTACTTCAACGATTTTTGATAAGGGGTGCGAGAACATATTTTGATTTTTGATAAGGGGTGCGAGAACATATTTTGAATTTTGATCAGGGGTGCGAGAACATATTTTGAGAACCAAAGGGGTGCAGGCTGCAGTAAAGGTTAAGAACCACTGCTCTAGAGGCTGCCAACAACCCTAGAGTTTGGGTCTTGCTGACAAAGGTGGATCGGAGGTAAATACTCCCCTACAGACATTTCTGAGCCAACTAATAGCTGGATTCCTCTTGGTGCCAATTGCCAAATGTATTCACTTTTTTTGTCTCCATTTTCCTCTTTTCGGTTTCCAGGTTTATTTAATATTAGGAGAGTAAAATATTTCAATGGCTCTATTAAATGGAGCTCAGGTTCTACCCCTAGTGTCTCTGGGCTGGATGGTGGGAGCAGGAGCTCTTGGAGAAGGAGCTGCAAAAAATATGGGAGTTCGCAGGTGGGCCAAAGTGCAAATCCCTTATTGCCGTGTTTGGGCTTCTGTCTCCATTACAAATGTACAAATTCAATTTAAAAAACACACAGTCTCTCTCACCCCAGATTTGTTTGGGGATGTAACATGCAGAAGTGGCTATTTGGGACTGCAACACACAGCATGAGCAGTAACCCGCAGACAGACGGGAAGGCTGTTTCACCAGCTACCTGTGTTTCCTTGAGGGAACCTGTAACATTTTAACTCCACATTTGTGACAACAACAAATGCGCTTTTGTTTGGCAGAAACACCATCTCTGCTTCCAGCTACACACAATACAGCCCCTGCCCGAATTGGTTCCTACTCTGGTACTTACTTTAATCCACCACATTTTAAAAACCATAACCAGCCTAGCAGAGAAGCCCCATTCTGTGCTCCTGGAGTCCTCGCCAGCCACTCAAAATAGAGTCTATGAGTAACAGTCCAGCTGGCTCTACCCCCTCGCCCCCATAGGGGAGAGACAAACCAACTACCACCAGCCAAGCAGAGCACAAACACAGCTCAGTGCCCTCTCCAAGCTCCACTGCGCTCACAAGGAGCCTGTGCAAACAGACAGATCTAGCAGCCTGCCTGGAATGTCAATAGAACTGTGCCATTTTGCACCACCAAGTGGGGGAGTAAACTCCGAACCAGAACATGCTCTCCCCCGTGGCAGCTCCCTCCTTTTTAAACCAAGGGAACGCCATACACTTCAGCTCCAGCAGGATGGCACAGCTGCACTCATCCCTGTCCCTCCTGGCTCTTCGGAAGGCCTAACTTTCCCCTTAGGTGCAGAGTGTTCCAGGTCTTTGTTAGTAGCTGTCTCTGCTCAGGTAGGCAGGGCCTGGGTCTCTGTTGCTCTGGAACCTCATGCTATCACTTCTATGCAAAATGCTTCTGTTCCAATCTGGAACCAGGCAGAGCGCCATGGAGAGCCAGCTGCTCTAGTACGCAGCCACATCTCTCTCTCTCTCTCTGTGCATTTGCAACTCAGCAACGGGCCTACAGCAGAGTTGCACTGGCAAAGTTCTGCCTCCAGTTACACTGGTGCACGCCCACTGATTGAAGGGCGTTGCACCAGTGTAAGCCCAGGCATCTCAGTCCAGTTGGTAGGGAGTTGGGACTCCTGGGATCTAGTCCCAGCTCCATGATCCTGGTCAAATCACGACCTGCCTCTGTTCCCCTCCTACCTTGTCTATCTTAGAGCTGGTCGAAACTCAGAAGTTCCATTCCTCAGGAAATTCTGACATTTTAAAATGGCCTTTCATCCTAAATTGGAACAAAACATCAAGATTTCAAAATTCACTGCGAAAAATTTCCATTTTGGAAACGTTTTGGAAAGATCCAAATGACCTTATCAAAGTGCTTCATTTCAGCCGTTCTATTTTAGAAACAATAACATCAAAAGGAAGTGCTCTGATAGTTTTTCTATAAACATTTTGACAAAGTCGATACTGTATGTTGCCGTGGAGTGTTTCGATTTTGTTGAATTTGCATTTTCCAATGGAAAACCGTCCCACTGAAAAAATTTTGACAAGCTCGACTCTATTTAGGGAAGGGACGGTCTCTCACTACAACAGAACCTCGATTTTATGCACCCCAATCTTACAAACAATAAGTTACACCAACCATTCTTCCCTTGAGGAAAATAAATAAATGACAGAGCGAAAGTCATGGTGAAGAAGTCGACATCCCTTCACAGTCCGATACCGTCAGTGCATTGGAAAGTGCTTTGCAGTGGTTTGAAGGGCAAGCAGAAAGTGATGCAGTGCTCCATACTGCAGCTTATGCACTGAACCTGCTGTAATGATACGTTCGATTTTATTATCTCCAATTACTTGGTAAAACAGGGGTTCGGTTGTTTGAATCTGTGCAGCACCCAGAACAACGGGCCTCTAGATACGACTGCAATATACATAACCTGACCCTATGCTTCGTATCCCCTGCTGCATATGATTACAGTCATCTCTTCTTCACAGTCCATCTCCAGGAATCCATCTCACACCTGTTCTCTCTGCTTGGCTTCCCCCTTAATGGTAGCCTCAATCACAATAGCCAGAGCTTGTGAGGTGGGGGGAACCAAAACTCAAAGCCAGAGGCACTTACTTCTCGTAGTCGTGCTTGCAGTATAGCTGCCGGTTGCGACAGTAGCAGGTGCCCGACAGCGGCTGCAGGCAGGCGGCACACTTCACGCAGCCTTCGTGCCAGGAACGCTCATTGACTCGCAGGAGGAACCGGTCAGAGATGGGCGTGTCGCAGCCGGCACAAACCTCCCGCATTTTGGAGTCCGACCCTGGCAACAGAGAAAAAGGCAAATGAGCTACACTAGGGAGGACTGGTTTTCAAATGGGGATGTGTGCTGCTAAGGTGGAATTCACCCCAGGGGAGGAGACCCGGCACAAGGCCTGGGTGCTGCTTAAATCCGGCTTCAAGGGCACAAGGCCTAGGCCTCATGTTTGTGCTAAATCTGTTTTTAAAGCCATGTGTTACTAGCGTTAATTGCTATATCTGCACCCACAGAGAGAGAGAGAAACATTGTATTGGCCACATATTTTTACAATCTTATAAATAAATAAAAATGTTTGTCCTACAAAAATATATGGCATCTTCAGGATTGGTTTCTAATTTTCAGGTAGTACGTTTTAAAAAATCCTCTCCCCTCCCCCCCAAATCCATCACTAAAGGGAAATATAGAATGCAGGAGACCATCCCCTCTGGACTCTAATAACTAGATCTTCAAGAGTACCCAGCACCTACACTCGGGGACTCGGTATTCACATAATATCAGCACATTGGGGGCTGAAAACATGCCCCAAGTGTCACTTGCACCATCAGCAAGGTTTTCCAAAGTGTGTGTGTGTGTATCTCTGTTCTTCACAGTTCTCAATGGTGCAGGACATGCACTCTGTTGTTCTCAGGGATGCGTGTGTGGACGCGCCCTGCTGCTCTCAAGAGGAGCTGTTGGATGCTGAGTACTTTTGACAATCTACAATAAGAGTTTGGAAGGAGGTCAGATTTGGGTCTGTGCCTCCTGGGTGCATGCCAGATCCATCCCCATCAGGGGGACGCGGTGCTAAACCAGTTAAAATAGCGAGAGCGCCAGAGACTTGGGATTTTTTCCCTGGACGTTATCATCACATAAATCTATGGCTACCCTTCAAAGGCTTCCCCGCGATAACTCCAAGGTAGAGGAGTGCACGTGGGTAATAAATACGCTATCTGGCGCATTGGATCTGGGCGCTAGGCCGAGCCAGGCAGGTACTAGGTACCTTAGCCGAGTGCACTGTCTCCCCACCCATCATGGTGAGCTGCTCAGGTTTCTTAAACCCTTAATTTGTCCTCTCCCTTCACCAGCCCCTTGTTCTTTTATCTTCCTCTGCCCCAGGAGCCTGCCCAAAGCTCACCCAGAGCCCGCTGCGGGGGTGCGAGAGGTGCCAGCTAGTCACATAGGTGACATTTACCCCTTTTGTAAGGGCTTAAGTGGGGCCTAGGCCGCAAGCTGGGCCCTGCCCAGCGGGAGGGGTGGGGCTAGGGCCTGGTGCTGGGGCCTGCCGGGCTGAGACAGGCCTGATGGTGGGCCCTCTCCAAGGGCAAGGGGTGGGAGCTAGGACTTCTGTTGGGGCCTGCGTGGCCTCCCGCTGGGCCCTGGTCAGTTTTACCCCATGTGAGCACTAGGGGTGTCGCAGTCTTGAGAGAACGGGAGTGTCCAACAAAGAAAGGCCATAAGATTCCCTCCTCAGAGATGCTCTGTGCCCCTCATCTGGGGACACGAAGCAGCCCTGCCTTGGAAAGGGGCGCTATGGGCACAGCCAGGCCCGACGAGAGGGTGGGGAAGCCGGTACAAAAGCCCAGCAGTCCGGAAGGGGGCCTGGGGCCCGGCTCCCCCCCCCTCGTTGGCCCTGTTTAGCCGGTCTGCCCTTGCCGGGGGGCCCAAAAAATTTTTTTCACCAGGGCCCGAACCCGCTCTTGGCGGCCCTGTGTACAGCATTGGGGGAAATAGGCTGTGTGATTTCTAGGCAGTCTGCAAAGATAGAAGGGAAGAGTTGATTTTCCAGCCTTGCAAAACTCACTACCTAGGGGATCTGAGAGGCAAGTGGGGACAGTAGGCAGCCCTGGTCACGCACCCTCCAATAATAAAGGTTCTGTGGGCCAAATCAGCCCCTCAGCAACACCTGTGCAGGCACCTCGCACTCAGCAGAGTGTCACAATTCAGTTATCTGCAACGGGTGTCACAGAGGACAGAGCCTGCCCGAGCAACTGACTGACTAACAATTCTGATGATGTATGAGCCAGGCTAGAATCCAGAGGCCTGATTCCTTGGCCCCTCACACCTCATGCATTCACTTTCTGCAGTGTAAAGTGAGTGGAAAAAGTTACTCTCCCAGTCTGGTAGCAGTCTACACTCACGTCCTTGCACTGGGGTAAATCACAGTACCCGATGCAGGGTAATGGAGAATCAGGCTCTGTGCTTTACAGATTTTACATCATATCTTAGACTGGGAAGTCTCTGGGGCCCAGCCTGGTCTATGTTATTTGTTTGTACAATGGGGCCCTTAGGCGTTACTGCAATAGAAACAAACCGTAGTTGTGATTCAAACGCAGGTGCCAGGAGAGCCCTAACCCTGCGTGGCCTGGCTCTGCCTTGGCTCTGTCCCAGACGCTGCCGTTAGACAATCATTTCCTGCTGCATCTCGCTGCTTAAGCAGGATTCTTTACTTCGACAGCAACACCCTCTGCCAACAGGAGCTGCCTCCCCACCAGGCACTCACCAAGCCACCCACTTGCCAATAGGGAAGAAGATGGGCAGATATTCTTCTGGCCTGGGAGAGGGAAGTGAGAGCAGGGGAAGCCGCTGAATTTGATGGAGGAATATCAGTGCTGGGATGGTTTGGGAAAAGCGTCAGCTCACAGAAACGCAGCCCTGTTCCTCTCCCTGGCCTCCGGAGCTCTTTTACTGCCAGGATGTTGGAGTCCAGCAGTTCGGTGCGTGGGAAGTCTAACCATAACCTAGGAGCAGTAGCTTTGACGAGGGCTTGTCTACACAGACATCCAGGAAAATTAATCTAAATTAACTCATGGTGTGAATTTGAAGTGGCTTAGTTAAACCACATTGAATCCCTGTGTGGATGCTGTTATTCAGAATGAAACTGGCCTTAATTTGGTTTAGCGAAGTGAAGTGAGTGAAGATCACTTTAACTCTGAATACCAGCATCCACACAGGGTTTAATTGTATTTTTTACTTCATACATCCGAAGAAGTGGGCTGTAACCCACGAAAGCTTATGCCCAAATAAATTTGTTAGTCTCTAAGGTGCCACAAGGACTCCTCATTTTTTTTTTGCTAATCCATTTCAGTTTAACACCTTTAGTTAATTTGCAACAATTTTCCACTAAGTGACCTGGCTTGATTTATTTGTATGTATTTATTTTTGCCAGGTCTGTGCCCCCTGGAGAATTCCTCCCACATACACTTTAAACACTGTCCCAATGCTTCTGCTGCTGCTGGGGGCATGAATCAGGGTTCTGGGAAGCAGTATCTCCTGCCTCAGGTTTCTCCTGAAGTGTTACTCACTCAGGCTTGCTCTGCTTGGGTTTTGTCTCTGTTCTCTCCCCCGCTTTAATCTTGATGTTTTCTCTTACGTTTCTCTCTCTTCTGCCTCCAGCTCTTCTTACCCCAATTTCTTGCCCCTCCCACTGCCTCTGCTTTTTCCTTCATCCTTCCCCCCTTTCCTTTCACCAGACTCCCCATGAGGGGACCCTAGAAGTGATTACAGATAAGCATTCATTGCATTTCAGCAGCATAACCCTACAGAGCTCTGTGCATGGTTGGAGAGTCCAGGGCTGGAATAGCAGGAGAGCTGTGGGTCAGGATTGAGGGGCATCTGAAGAGTTGGGGGAGGAGCCCAAGGCTGGAATAACAGGGGACTGTAGGTCAGGATTCAGGGGCAGTGGAACAGCTGTGTGTGGGAAGCGCAGGACTGGAATAGTGGAGCAAAGTGTAGCCATTCGGAATCTGCGGAGGGGCAATTTGCAAAGTGCCTGCCTTCTTTATGTCTAGCTGTAGCAAGAGCTAGTCTTTAATGGAGATATCCTATCTCCTAGAACTGGAAGGGACCTTGAAGGTCATCGAGTCCAGTCCAGTCCCCTGCCTTCACTAGCAGGACCAAGTACTGATTTTGTACCAACCCCACATACAACAGCAAGATGGTGCAAGGCACTTGCTTGAGCTCAGCCCAGCCCAGTTCTGAGCAAGCTCAGAAAAGGCAGCTGCTAGGATCCTCTTTAGGGCTAAGCTACTAGCCCATCACTAGCCTTTAAGGGCACCCTTATCATTGGTGCATAAAAGCAGGAGAAATCATTCGCCGTCAGTGACATTCATAGAATATCAGGGTTGGAAGGGACCTCAGGAGGTATCTAGTCCAACCCCCTGCTCAAAGCAGGACCAATTCCCAACTAAATCATCCCAGCCAGGGCTTTGTCAAGCCGGGCCTTAAAAACCTCCAAGGAAGGAGATTCCACCACCTCCCTAGGGAACCCATTGCAGTGCTTCACCACCCTCCTAGTGAAATAGTGTTTCCTAATATCCAACCTAGTTGGGTTCATCAGGGCTTGGCACCTGTTGGCACCTTGGGAGACCGAGCATCATGAGTGAGGGTGGCTACTCACCCCACTTTCTAGCCCCTGCTAGATTTTGCGTTCAGACTCACTAGGACCTGAGCCAGCCCCCCCAGCTGAACTGCTGCCTCTGCTCCTGCAAACAAGCTGCCCGTAGGATCCATTCCTGAGCAGGGCTGCCCGAGTGCTGCTCTGCCAGCAACCATGGACCTATACCCGGCTACACCTGTGTACGCACATTTACATTGTTCGAACGGCATCCAGTAGCGGGGTTGTGCTGCTTCAGCTAATCCAGGAGAGACAAAGCAGCACTTACCTGCCTGTGCCGCCCCCAGCACATGGAGTCCCAATGTCAGCTGGGACCTTTCAGCACTACCGTAATACCCATCCTGAAAATGATTCTCTATAAAGGTCATCCAGTTCTACCGTAAAGCCTGTAAGAACTTAGCCACTTAATAATGGCTCTAGAGCATGGCAATGAAGTATGATCGCATGGTTTGTCCCATGACCTTTGTTGCCTGAACTCACTGTCTCTGATGCTGCACGAAGCACTATGCGAGCAGACCCCTGCCGTGCTTAATTTGTAATGAAAGAGGTGCTGGGGCTCAAACAGTTTTTTTACATTCATAACTGACACGGCAAGCCCAGAGGTAGGACTATGAACTGCCAAGCCTAGAGGTGCCGGGCTCAGCCCTGGCACAGATTAAGCACTGGCACCCTGGCGTGGCATGACTGGGACGAGACAGTATAAACTCTCAGAGCCGGGGCCCATGCTGTATGGAAGGGGTCTAGAACACAGTGGGGGCTGCTGCTGTAATCCAATTAATTAATAATGGTCCCTCCCCCTCCAAGTCATTGTTGCTAACACTCCCCTGCCAGCACGGTCATCACAAGTAAGTAAATTCAGCCGGGACACATTCACTCCAGGTTGCAATGGCTGAGCCCGAGCAGCTGGAAAGAATGTTGGGGGGGGGGGGGGCTATGGTTTTGGGGAGGGGAGTTATTTTTTGAATGATAAAATAAGTTTAAAAAAAAAATCTTTAAAATTGTTTGCTTTGTGTTTGTCTAACTTGAAGACACCTTTTTCTTATTCAAAACACTCGACCAGCTCAGAAGAGAGGACCTGAGACCCCTTTAGAAGAAAAACAAATGAAATGCAGCCACAAAGCTCTCTGTTCTTACCTCTGAGCTGCTGGATCTGCTACTGCCAGTCATGTAGGATGGAGCGGCAGCACTTCAGTACCAGACCAATTGCAAGAGCGCAGTGAAACTGCACTATGCACACCGAGAAGCATTAAGGCCTCAATTCAGCAGAGCTCTAAAGCGCATGCTTAATGTAGGCATATGCTTAAGTTCCATCTGACTTCCATGAGACCTAAGCATGTGCCAAAGAGTTAAGCATGTGCATAACTACATTGCTGAATAGGGATGGATTTAAGCAGGTGCCTAAAATTAAGTACATGCTTTGTTGAATCAGGGCCCAATGCTGCTTATCCCTAACTAGTCCAAGAGACACCGAAGGGAATGGAGATAGCCTAGACAAGACTCTGCAGGAGCAGGTCAGGCTCAGGTCTAAACCCACACGAACAAGGAAGGTCCATTTAAAGCAGAAAGGGTGAGGCTGTGGTGCTAGTCTTGGTGCTTGCGCAGCAGGAGTCAGGATGGGGTGTCAGGGGAGATTCCCTCTTGTTTTGTGGAGGGGCATGTGCCAGGCTGTTAGCCACACTCACCTGTCACTAGGGCTGGGGGATCTTGTTTTGCCTAACTTGGAACTGACAGACACTGTGGATTTGAAAGCTTGACTCAAACACAGAGGACAGTAGGGGCTTGTCTTCACTGCAGAATTAGCTCAAGAGTTGTCCCTACCTTGAGTCCTGTCCACACACAAAACCCCCTTAACTCAAGTGTGGCACGACTTTAACTCAAATTGGCTGGCCTGTCAGCTCCTCACCTGCTAATCACACAGGTCCACTGTCAGATTGCTGTGTGGCTGCTCTCACTCAGGCTAGGCTAGGAGCAGAATTAACTCAGGTTTAGAGAAGTCTAAAGTGAAGATGTACCCAAGGGTTCATGTCCCACTTAGGGGGGAGAAAGAAAAGTTTTCGGGGGGGGAAGCTGCCAGGGTTAGATTCCCAAGGGCTCAGCACCCACACCGGGGGACAGATTTTCAAGAGAGCTCATTTCCCACCAAGGCACCTAAATAAAGATCAGATTTTCTAGAGTGCCCAGCTCCAGAAGTGCCCAGGCTGGGTTTCTCGGAAAATGTGGCCCATGGTCTTTGTCTGGAACTGGTTGAAAAAAATGGATTTTTTTGTTCCCATGGAAATATTTGACTTTTCATCAAAACTCCAAAAACAGTTGGTGGTGGTTGGTGTTTGTTTGTTTTGCTTGTTTTGACAAAAAGCAAAAGTTTTCTGTGGAAAGGAGACGCTGTCCACATACATTTTCATTTAGTCAAAAACCCAGTTTTCTGTCCAATAATGGTTTCAATGGAAGATTTCAAACCAGCTCTGTTTTCATCCCATTGGCTGTACAGTGTGTAACAGGGGTTCTCAAACTGGGGGTCGGGACCCCTCAGGGGGTCACAAGGTTATTATATGTGGGGTCACGAGCTGTCAGCCTCCTCCCCAAACCCCACTTTGCATCCAGCATTTATAATGTTGTTAAATATATAAAAAAAAGTGTTTTTAATTTATAAGGGGGGGTCGCACTCAGAGGCTTGCTATGTGAAAGGGGTCACCAGTACAGAAGTTTGAGAACCACTGGTGTGTCACTTTCTGTGGTTGGGTTTTGCGGTGACTGCAACACCTTACAAAAAGCATAAGCTTCCCCGTTAGGGGGTTTGGGGGGATTCTTTAATACTTAGCTTTTGGGGGGAGGGAGTAGGAACAGATATTTAAATGGAGAACAAAGGTATGTGAACTTGAGCTAGCTCTGAGAACTAAAGAGTCACAAAACTTCAGATGCTGCGAGGTTCCCACTCCTTGTTCAAAACACACTTTACGTTATATTATTAAATGACCAAGTGAGGCTGTTGCCAAGGATTACGCCATGTGGAATGCCACATAGCCCTGCCCATGGCCAGCCTGTATTGTGATTCACTGACACTGGCTGTGTGAGCAGGAGGGCTGAGGGCACGGTCGGTAATTCACACCTGGAGTTTTGTTAGGCACAAGGCCAAGCACCCAGCAATAACTTAAGAAAACGTAGAGAGAACAATCCAATCGCTGGATGGAGGATAAACGATGCGAAGGATGTAAGTGGGAATGCTGCTTGTCTGTAGAATATCTAATCCCTGGTAGAGTCACAACCTCCTCAGAAGGGGCTGGACTTGAAACTGGAAGTAAACAAGCCTCTGACATTTTGGATCCTACGGACTGCAAGGCTTTAAAATTCAAGGTTAGAAAAATGCAGCAGTTTGAGTTTAAAAACATGAGATTTTAGAAATTTTGTTCCTGTTCCGAGGGGGGCACTGGTGAGATGGCTAATGAGTTCCAATCAGAAAAATGTGCAGCATTAATTTAAAGGGCAAACTGCTTTCAAGAGTCCCATTGCAATGTAAGTTTGTTGATTCCTTACCAAATTAATTCATAGATTCTAAGGCCAGAAGGGACGTGGTCATCTGGTCTCACCTTCTGTGTAACAGACCACAGGAGTTTCCTGTATTATTTCCTGCTTAAGGTCCAATCACTGGGCTTGACCTAGAGTAGATCTTTTAGAAAAATCCCATCTCAATTTAAAGATGGCCAGTGAGGGAAAGACCCCCACAACCCTTGGCAAGTTGCTCCAATGGTTAATTACCCTCACTGTTAAAAGTATGCACTTGGTTTCATCTGAATTTGTCTAGCCCCAACTTCCAGCCATTAGTTCTGGTTACAACCAGAGTGAAGCGCCTTCTATTAGCCAATCTCTGCCCTCCAGTAGATACTTGTGCACTCGGATCAAGTCACCCCTTAACCTTCTCTTTGCTAAGCTGCATAGAGGAGTCTATCCAGAGGCAGCATTAGCTCCTTTGGGGCCCACAGCAGGAATATTTTGGGGCTCCCCTTGCCCCTCCCCCACACCGTAACCAATATGAATTGCATTATTTCCACAAACCACCAAATCCACCAACACAAGCCATGGACATTTGTTAAACACTCCACATTACATAGCGAGCTGTATTGGGGGGGGGGGATACTAAATCCCCGGCCTGGGGCTGCTTGGAGCTCAGACATCGCTTAGGTTAGTCAGCCGCATGCTACTGGCATCACAGATCTGCCCCTGGCCGGTTTTCTAATCCTGTCCCTTCTCCGAGCCCGCTCCCATTTATCAGCATCCCAATTCGTGTGGAAAACGCTCAGGCCCCACACCCGGACTCACACCGAACTAACCGGCTGTGTGAACTCAAAGCCATGGAGTGTGTAGACAAGCAGCGGCGCTGGAACGAGGGGGGCTGCCGCACCCCCAGGCCTGGAGCAGTGACAACAAACACCGAAGCCAGCAGCAGCACCGTGTAGACAAGCCCCGGCTCTATGCTACAGCTCTGGGTTGAGAGGGGGGACGCCGGACAGACAGCAGTGATGGGGTGTGACCCAGCCAGCCCACTCCCTACGGGGCGGAGGGTCTGTCTCTCGGCTGCCCCAGGACAGACGGACACTCACCGAAGCCCAGCACCGGGGCCTGCTGCAAGCAGGATGGTGCCTCCTCTGTCTTCATGCTCCAGCCGGGCTGGGGGGAACCTGGTGGGGGAGAGGATGGGTTAGTACCGGCGGGGGTTGCCTGGGCCTGGGGAGGGGTCAGGTAACCGGGGCACAGGGAAGGAAGATCCTCTGGGCTGGAGGGGAGGGGGTTTCTCAGCGGAACCTCCCGGGATGGGAGCTGAGCTGGAGGGGGAGACACCCCCAGGAAAGGAGACCGCGGAGCCCAGCCCCGGAGTCCTGGGCCGCCCCAGCCTTCCCCGGCCTTTGCAACCCGTCCCACTCCCCCCCATGGCCCCCATCTGTCCATCCCCACAGCGCCTCCTGTTCCCCGTCTGTCCCCCACAGCTCACCATGTCCCCCGGTCCGTCCGCCCCTTCTCCCACCGCACAAATTAACCCGCGAATCTTTACGTTATTCTGGGCAATAAAGAACCTCCCCCGCCACCATTATCGACCTCCGGGATCCTCGAGCCGTGTGGGGGAAGAGCCCCCAGAGGTTACCCCGGCTCACCCCCGCCCCCCGCGAGCTATGGATCGGCCCCGGAGATAGCGGAGTAGCCGGGGTGGGTTATGGAGCCGGGATGGGGCAGATTGGGGGGCGGGGGGAAAGACGGGGTGGCTGGTGGGGTAGGTTACAGGGGCAAGTTATGGGGCAGGATGGGTTCGTTATGGGGCGGATAATGGGGGAATAAGATGGGCTAAATGTGGGGTGGGGAATGGGGCGGATAACGGGGTCGGACGTGGGGCGGATAACGGGCTCGGATGTGGGGTTCTCTGCCCCCAGCCCTGGGAAGGGGAGAAACCCACCCCCCGTTTGCGCCTGTTGCTTTAATCCCCGGGCCGAGGTGGGTTTTTACCCGCCCCGATCCCGGGCGGGCAGCGCCCCGCGGGCGCCTCCTTCCCCCGCCGGGGCTCGCTGGGGTCGGCTCGATGCCCGCGGGTCTGGTTCGCGACCCGCCCGGCGCCGCTGGGTCGAGCGAGCCCCGCGGAGCCGCTTGGATGGAACCACAACGAATTCTCCGCCCCTGCGCCCCGGAGCCCGCTCGCCCCGGCCGGCCCCGGCCGGGCAAATTCCCCGCAGCCCCCCGGCCGCCCCCTGGCCCCCGGCCCCGCTCCGGCGAGCCGCAATCACCTGCAGCGCGTCCTTCCCTTCGGCCCCGCAGCCGCCGCTCGCCGGACAACGGGGCCGGGCCGGGGCCGCGGAATCGGAACCCACGAAATTTCGCTCGTGTCTCGGGCTCGTTGCCCCAATTCCCGGCGCTTTGGTGTCCTTCGTGCCGAGCTTCCCGGGCCCGCGGGGTTCGCTTTGCGCCGCAGGAATTCCGGGGCGAGCGCCGGGCTCCCCTCGCTAGCGAGCCCGCCCGGTTCCAGCGGCCGAACCCCCGGTTCGCTCCCGGCTCGGCTCCGTTCGTTTCTTTGGGACTTGCCCGCAGACGGGGGCGGGTCGCTGCCCGCTGGCGGGGGCTCTGGCTGCGCGGCGGGTCCGGGTCCCGCATGCGAGCCCGGCTTTGTCCCCGCTCTCCGGGCGCGGGGTCCCCCGAGCGCTAATAGCGGGGGGTGAGAGCCTGGCTCCCCCCACGTCCAGGGGAGTTTCTGTTCTTGGCTTCCGTGGAGCCGGGAGTTCGGGGCTGCTCCGCCCGCGCGTGGGGATTTACACCCCCGCCCCCCAGCAGAGATTTCTCCCCCCGGCTCCGCGGAGAGCCCAGAACCTGCCTGGGATGGACGGGCAGAGCACGCAGCTGGCTAGCGCCCCTCACCGCTGGGGCGGGGCGGGTGTTGCAGCCTTTGGGGATTTTCAATCCCCAATCAGTGCCAGGGAAATTGGGGGGCGGATGAGCCCGGCCAGGAGGGGAGCTGGGTCCCAGGGTCTCCATACACCATGGATAAGTTGGTACCTCTGAGCTGAGACCCCCGCCCCATGGGTGCCCCCCCGGCCCGTGCACCCATCCCCGTGCGCAGCGGCGCGGGCAGGAGAACAGACAAAAATCTCGACACCTACCAGGCTTGGCGGCTGGGCCAGCGCAGGCTGCGAGGTCAGAGCCAGAGACTTCCCCGGCCGCTCCAGCTGCTAACGGGGGGCGGGGGGCTCCTATTGTCTGAGGCCAGGATCCGGGGGAGACAGTAGCGCTGCTGCTCCCAGGCACAACAAGTCCATGCCCAGCGCCCGGCTCAGGCTGCCAGGGCTTCCCCGGGCCCCGTCCGCCTCCGCCTCGCCCCCACCCCCAGAGCCAGCGAGCTTCAGAGGCCAGCGCCTGGGTCCCCGGCGAGCCTCGCCCACCCGCCTCTGCAGCCCCCGGGGCCCGGGCTCCGCAGGGGGCAACAGGGAGACCCGAATTCGAGGAGTTTTTAAAGGGCTGTTCCGGGGCGGGGCGTTTCCTATCGGCCCGAGGGGATCGATCACACGCATCAATTCGAAGTGAAGCCAGCTCCGGTGTCTCCGAGCCGGAGCGAGCGGGGTTCATGGCGGGAGACCCGAGCGCAGATCTGCTCCGGGGCGGGCAGGAGGGTGAAGGGTCCGCGGTGGACGTGGGGCTCTGGCCAGGCCCAGCGGGAGAAGCCTGGGGTCGGGTTATACAGACCGGCAGTCAGTCTATAGAGACCGGGGCAGGCCCAGACCAGGCGTTTGGTTGCCTGTTCCAGGGGAAAGGCGCGGGGAGTCCCGGGCCAGGGGCCGCGCTGCGGTCCCCGTCGGATTGTGGGGTCACCGCGATGCCACTGCCCCACCTCCTGCCAGGCGTTATAGTGCGACAGGGCCATATCCCGGCCCGGGGGGTCACCCGCAGCGAGCAGGCAGTGGAGCGGGCCGGGCCCGGGACCTGTGGAGAGTCCGGCCGGCGGGGGTGAGGGGTCTGAGTGTCTGTGACAGACTCCACGCGAGACCGCGACCGGTCAGCTCAGGACACAGACGTGGCTGGCTCTCACCGAGCTGCTGGCGGGGCAAAGGGCAGGATCCCCCCCCCCAGGAATGGATAGGGCCCGAGCACAGCGACCGGGCGATTTGCGACGGTCGTTACAGGCCGGATCCGCTGGGCTCGGGTTAATCCGATTTGTGTAACAAACCGAAGCTGGGTAAAGCGTGAAAGTGCCCCAAACCGAATCTACACTCACCCCCTCCCCGCCATTACCTGCCCCAAACCGGATCTATTCTTCACAGGGCAGAGACCCGAACCGACCCCGCAGCGGGTCCAGGGACCCCCTCCTTTGGGGGAGGGTCGGAGCCGGGAAGGGCGGGGGGACCGGGGCAGCTCGGCAAGGGGGGTCAGGGGCGCCCAGGGACGCGTCCCCCCGTCTTGGCTCCGGGGTGTTTAAGGCGCAGCCACATTAATCCCCACCGGACCCCACGGTCCGTTCATCGCAATTAGCAGCCCAGGCCCGGCTGGGCTCAGACCCGAACTGGAGGAGGGCGGGGGGCTGCGGACCCTTTGGGGCTGCAGGGGGCACCGTCCCGCCCTGGTGCCTGGGCTGGGGGGCTGAGCAGTGAAGGCGGGGGGC